TTGGGGTCTCTTCGGAGCGCTCTTGGGCCTCTGGGGGGCAGTTGCGGAGCCTCCTCGGCGCCTCTGGAGGGCCTCGTGGGAGCCTCTTGGAGCCTATTGGGGCTTTCTGTGAGCCTCTTGGCGGCCTCTCAGAGCCTCTTGGGGGCCTCTCGGGAGCCTCGTGGGGCCTTCTGGGAGACTCTCGGGGCCGAGGGCTCGAAATGTCCGTTCGGGTCCCCCGTCTGGACTAGTTCTTGGAGCCATCTTGGGGGCCTCGTGGGCCGTCTTGGAGGCATCTTGGACCATCTTGGGGCCCTCTTGAGCTGTTTCGGGGCCCTCTTGAAGGCCTCTTCGGCTGTCTTTGGGCGATATTTAGGGCCTCGTGGGCCGTCCTGGAGCGCCGGGAAGCAGAAAAGGCGATAACGCAACAATCATCCAAAAACCAACGGAAAATCAGCGAGGAGTTGTGCCTCTTGGGACCCTCTCGGGAGTGCTCTTGGAGGCGTCTTGGAGGCATATCGGGCCTTTTCGATGCTTCTTGGGCCGTCTGGAGGCCATCTTGGGCGTCTTGGAGCGATCAGTCGGCGATAATGTGCCCACCTGGACCGTCTTGGCGACCTCCCAGGGCTTTCCTGGCACGTTTTGGGTCCTCCTGGGCGAGGGGGCCATCCGGGATGCCCACGCGGCACACCCCAAGAGCGCCCAGAACCGTTTTTGGGGTATGGGCTTTTACGGATTGTACCATCCTTCTAATTTGGGGCTCTTCACTTCGTGCCCGAGGCACGGTGGCGGATATATGGGGCAGCACATGTTGCGCAGCGTATGTTGCACGATACTTGTGGTGAAACTTACGTGGTGCAATTAATTTCGGTTCGCAGTCAGTTGTCCACTCCACTGCTCGCGCAAACATCCCACCCACCCACCCGCAATTTTGCTTGCAAACCTCATGCGGCGACGATTGCGATGAGTGTTTGGCGCTGGCTGGTGCATCTCTGCGGCCGCGCCAGCCCGCGCATGCGCGCACGCGCGCAGCGGCCAGGCAGTTTGGCGCGACCGACGTGGCAGCGGCGGTGCTGACCGCTTGGCACATCCCAGCGGGCACCTGAGTGCGATTCGGCGACTTGGGTGGGCGCGGTAGCATGGCAACGCCGACAGTTTTAGACACGATGGTGATGATAGTAGCGATGGTGGTGGCGATGTTGACAGCGACGACGGTGCGGCCAGTGACGGCGCCGATGCCGATCACGCCGACGACGATGACGGCATCTTCGCGTCGGTGATGGAGGTGTTGGGAAGAATTCGACTTGCGCGCGCGGCAGACGCGCGAGAGTGGCTCGCATGGTATTATGTGACGCGGATCATGCCACCCCAGCACGCGCGCAGGGCGCTCGAACGATTTCGACATGCGCGCGCGTAGCCCGCTTGGTATTATGATATGTCAATACTTTTTTAAAACAAAAAACAAAAAACCTTGAGAATTCGCAAGAGCGCGCGCTCGCTTTTGTTGAACAGCAGCGTTGTCAAACCTTGCGTTTGCTGTATGTTTTTGGCACTCGATTTTAAAGTCCTTCTGAAACCGAAAGTTGTTGAGGGATTTCGGCATGCGCGCGCGACGAGGCGCGCGCACTTCGTCCCATTCGTTGCAGAGGGTTTGAGCGACAGTTTCGACATGCGCGCGCGAAGCCTACTTGGTAGTATCTTCAGGAACATATGGAAAACATGTGGTATTCTTAAGAAGTCGCAAGAGCGCGCGCGCATGTGTTTTTCGAGAATCCGTGTTGCGAAACATGTGTTTATATGTTGCTTGGACACTCGATTTTGAAGTTCTTCAGAAACCGAAGCTTTTTGAAGGAGTTCGGCATGCGCGCGCGACGACGCGCGCGCACTTCGTCTCATTTGCTGCAGAGGATGTTAGCGACGGTTTCGACATGCGCGCGCGAAGCCTATTTGGTAGTATGTGCAGGAGAAGATTGAAAAACAAACCTGTGGTCTTCCTAAGAAGTCGCAAGAGCGCGCGCATGTTTATTCTGAGAATCCGTGTTGCGAAACATGGTTTTTTGTGTTTAAATGTTGCTCGGGCACTCGATGTTGAAGTTCTTCAGAAACTGAAGTGTTTTGAAGGAGGTCGGCACGCGCGCGCGACAACGCGCGCGTGCGCACTTCGGCCCATTTGTTGCCAACGACTCTTGAAAACCTATGGTTTTTTTATAAGCGAGTGCACGCGCATATTTTTTGCAGAGGATGGCGGGGGGGCGATACCGGCCTAGTTGGGATAGTACGAGTTCACAGTTAGGATGGACGATGCGGCAACAACATATTTTAAGTGCAATACGAAAAGAGGAATATTTTATCCCCGGGGGGAGGGTGGTAGAACCTTTTTTTTCCGAAAGGAGAATTATTTGTGGAACTCGCAGTTGTCGATCCAATCATTTCACCCACCCACCCGCAATATGTTTTGCAAAATACACGCGGCGGCGACTGCGATGAGTGCTTGGTGTTGGCTGGTGCATTTTTGCGGCCGCGCTAGCCCGCACATGCTCGCGCGCGCAGCGGCCAGCTACTTTGGCGCGACTGACGCGGCCGCGGTGGCGTTAATTTTATGGGCGCTCGGCGATTTGGGCGGGCACGGCATCATGACAACGCCGACAACGTTAGACACGATGATGATAGTAGCGACGCCGGTGACGATGACAACAAACGGCGACGGCACGGCCAGTGACGGCGCCGATGTTGATCACGCCGACGTCGATGACGGCGCCCTCGCGTCGGTGATGAAATTTTGCGAATGAGTTCGACGCGCCCGCGGCCGACGCGCGAAAGCGATCCGCATGATACCATTTGACACGGATCGTGCCCCGCAGCACGCGCGCAAAGGCGTTCCAATAATGTCGACATGCGGCGCGCAGAGGCCCGCCCGTCTGGCAGAATTGAGTGAACATTGGCAACATTGAACGGTTTTCTTGAGAATTCGCGTGTGCGCGTCGCAACTGCGCGAGCGCAGTTTTGCTGAAAATTGAGGTTGCAAAACCGCTTCTGTTTTTTATGTTTCCAGGGCACGCGACGACGCGCGCGTGTGTTTTTTTTTCGTCCCACTCCTTGCAAAAGTTTTCGCGACAACACGCGCGCAAGGGCTCCCGAACGATCTCGACGCGCGCGAAAGGCCCATGTGGTAGCATTTTATGAGAATGTTGAAAAACCTATGGTTTTCTTCAAATCCGCGAAAAAAAGGAACCACCAAAAACAGAAACACCAAAAAACACGCGAGCACAAAGTGTTTCTTATTCAAACATCTTGTTGCGAATCCGTATGCTCTTATATGTTTCCGGGACAGACGAATTTGAAACCCCTGCAGAACCGAAAGTTTTCGAAGGCCTCCGGCATGTCCGTACGATGACGCGCGCGTGCGTATTTCGTCACAATGTTTCCCCAAGGGGTCACTGAACATTAACAAGCGAGTGCGCGCGCATAGTATGTGTTGCAGCGGATGAGGGGGGAACCGTTACCGGCTTGGCTGGGACCATACGGAGTCATGTTTGGGATGGGCGATGGGGCAGAATCATTTGCAAAGTGCAATACGGAGAGGGGCGCGGTCAAATCTGGGGGAGGGGTGGAACCGAATATTCTCTTACAGAGGAGTATCTGGGCGGCGACGGGGCGGCGACGGAGACCACGGAACCGCCAAACTGGCACACAGGCCACGACGACGGGCGGCGACGGGGCGGCGACGGCGACCACGACGCCGCCAGACCAGCACCCAGGCCCCGACGACGGGCTGCGACGAGGCGGCGACGGGGCGGAAACGGCGACCACGGAGCCGCCAGACCGGCACCGAGGCTCAGTTCCCTTAGACAACGGAGTAGGACTCTCTAAGTGTATCCGAGTTGCGCTCGGATATCTTTGGTCGGCGCTAGGCCCTCCTACTGGCGCCTCCGGTGCTGCCCCTGGCGTGCTCCGCGCGCCAAGGAGGGGATCCAGCGCCGATCCAAGAAATCCGCGCGGAGCTCCGAATGTTTATGTTTATGCAGTCTTTTGTTCTTCTTGGATCATGGGTGATTTTTGGGGCCCTTGCGGGTCCGCGACAGGGCGCGTCCCCGACATGCCAAGCACAGACTCTGGTCACAGACTGCTCCCCCTGGCAAATCCCCTGCTCCTCCTCCCCTCCTCTCCCTCCACATTTCCTCCCTCCTCCACCTCCACCTCTACCTTCGTCCTGCGTCGCTTTTCTCCTCCTCCCTCCTCCTCGTCGCGTTGCGGGCAGGAGGCGCAGAGGGGGGTTGGGCAGGGGGCCCATAGATCTCCACCCTGGGCTTCTTTTCGGTGCACCTTGTCAATACGGCATCAAAAAGTACACCAGTAAAGTACCCTAATGGAAGCAAAGGTGAAGAGGCGGGTCGAGTAGTATGAGGTCGACGACTGGAATTGTGTATTCCTAGGTTTTCCTGGGAACTTCTTGGAAAGAGCTGGGCCAGGGGTGAGGGCACGGCTGTGCGCAACTGTGTGCGCGTGCGTTTGAGAACGGAATGTGGCCGGGTCAGGGGTGAGAGCATGGCCATGTGCATTGCAGCGCATGTTTTGCACAATCGTGGTTGTCCAGACAACAAATGTAGCCAGCATTGAGGCGAGAGCACGAACCTTTAAGTATATTGCAAAGAAGTCTCAAGCGGATCAGTTGCCAAACCGCTTCCAGACCCGGTGGTCGCAGACTCCCCGTCCCCCTTGGGAAACTCTTCTATGATCTGTTTTACCTTAATTGGAACCTTCTAGCGAAACCCTATCAGGGAATTCTCGACGTGGATTCGTGTGGTGACTTCACGATTGCTCAGCAAGGAGCAATCCATCATAATCTAGCCGACAGCGCCACTTACCAGCCATGGCAGGTATATCAAAAGCAACACACACCATCCACGGCACAGCGCGGTGGGAAAACAACCAACAACATCTTATCTGCATGAGGATGCCCGCGACGGAGGCATGGGAAGGGTAAAGGGTTGCATCAGAACAAGAATTGTTGAATTGGGCAGGGCGTACTGCTGCCTGGCCAAAGGCTCTACCCGCGCGCTGACTCGTCGTGATGTCGTGCTTGGTGTTACATGTTGAATTTGCCCCAGTGGAGAGATCTATGCATACATGTCCATATACGTATTTTGTGCGAACACATTATAGAGAGAGGGAGAGAATGCAATCGTGAAACGCGGAGAGAGAGAGAGAGAGGGAGGGAGCGTGTGTGGATAAACAGAGGGAATGTGAGGAGAGCAGCATGTACATCGGCGGCTAATAGATGTCATCGGGAGTTGGAATGAGTAGGCTAAGTACGCGGAGCTTGCTGCAGGAAGTGCGATCTGGAGTGGCCTACGCGGGGTGTTTATCAACACAGCCCGATGTGATTCGCCGTGTTTGGCCCAGGTCTACCCAGGCGCATTGTGATGTATTATATCTATATATATATACCGATATATATATACACAGATATATATATATATATATATACATATATATACAGATACACATATGGTAGGTTCGTGTCGTGTCGACCAGCGGCGATCCCGCCAGCGGCATTCAACGCTGAACGCCGCGGGCGGCTCAGAATCGTTCGATGTAGAACGATTTGGACGTTTCGGAAACGGTCGATCGTTCAATGCTGAACGATCCCCGCGGTGTCAGAAACCAGCGCCGAAGTCGGCACGAAACGAACCTGACGTATGTGTATACATGGCTCTCTCTCGTTGTCTTTTAAATTTCTCTCTACATATATATATATATAAATATGTGTGTGTCGGTAACTCTTTTTTCTCTAACTATACATGTATGTCTCTCTCGCTCTCTCCCCCTCTCTCTCTCTAGCTGTCTCTCTCTCTCTCTGTCTCTCTTTCTCTCTCGTTCTCTCGATCGATATGTGCACATGTCTAGCCATCTCTCTCTCTCTCTCTCTCTCTCTCCTCATCGGCCTCGATCCCGATAACTGCTTATAGATCTGAAGATATCCCTATTCTTATATTTTAATTACCCGGACCCCCCCACACACCCCTCCCCCCGAAACCGGACCCCCCCAGGGACGCCCCGAACGCCCTTTCGGGCGTCTCGGCGGCCCCCTGGACGCCCTTGGAAACGGTCCGCTGGCCCTTCCGGGCCTCCCAGGGCGCCTTGCCGGGCCTTGCGAGCAGGCTCAAGGCAATCAGAGGGGTCTTCGGAGAGGCGCAAGAGAGACTCAAGACAGCAGAAGAGCGCTCCAAGAGGAAGCTCGCTGGTCTGTAGACGGCCCAAGAGGCACCCAAGACGCCCCTAGAGGCCGTTGAGAGAGCCCCGAAGATGCAAACATCGCCCCATTCCCATAGGAACATCTATATGTTTCGCATCTCCCCTTTGGGGATCTTCGCAGCGTTCAAGACGGACCGATGGGCCTCCGATATCGCCCCAAGACGGCCCAAGGGGCCCCCCAGAGGGTTTGAAGACGGTAAGAGGGCCCCAAGACTGCCCCAGAGAACCCCGAGATTGCCCACAAGAAGCCCAAGATGCCCTCAGAAGGCTCCCAAGAGAGACCCACGAAAGCCATGGGAGAGCCCCAAGAAGGCCATTGGAGGCCCCCTAAAAGGGTCCTGGATGGCTTCAGAAGACCTCTGGAGGGCCCCAGCTCCCCAAGTCGGCCCAAGAAGGCCCCAGGACGGCCCAAGAGGGCCCCAGGACGGCCCCAAAGAGCACCAAAAACGCCCAGACGGCGTTTTCCTCCGAAGTACATCGAGCTGACCCGACGATTTTGGTTACACGCTTGAGGCTCGAGGTTTAAATGCCTCGATCGAGAGAGACAGGCAATGGATCTAGATTCGAAGTTCGACGATCGAAGATTTCCTGAGTGCCTGGATCCCCCCAGGCATTCAGGAAGCGATCAAACATCGATTTGTTCGGAGCTGCTGCGACTTCTTCGGCGTGTCATGGGAACGCTCTTTACTTCCTCAAAGGATGGACTCAACCACCGGGGGAGGCGGAAGAGGAGGAAAAGAGGAGGAAGGGAAGGGTAGGGATAAACCTTGGAGGTGGCAGATGAAAAGTCAGACGATTTTTTTCTCCCCACCTCCTCCCATGCGGAGCGATGCTGAAGCAAGCAATGATGCAATGCTTTGCCGGGGAAGCGTCCAGAACAGGGCGCATGGCGCGAAGCGCCAATGTAGTCTTGCGTGTATGTTTGTATATATATAGAGATATAAACGTGCAGGACTGCACCGGCGCTTCGCGCCATGCACGTCGATACATAAAGTGTGGCGTGCAGGCGGGAAGGCAGGACGGTAAAACATAACTAAATTAATTAGCGAACATAAATTGTTGCATGTTCCAGCATCGTCGGCGCAAGCAATCATGTTCTTATGTTACGGAGCCTCTTCTTTGAAGGGCGTCTTGCGGGGGCCCACGAGAATTGTTTAGAAGGGTTTCTTGGTGTTTTCTGGAGGCCTCCTGGGTCCTGGTGGGACCCCCTCGGGGTTTCCTCGGGCCAACCTGCTTCCAACCGCGGTTTCCCTGACTGGCCAGGTCACGATTTTGAATGTTTCGGGGGGTGTCGTGGGGCCAGGTTGGGCCGTCATGGGGCTCTCTTCGGGCCATCGTGGGGCCTGTCCGATCCGGGGTTGTCGCCCAGGTCCGGCAGGGCTCCCAGGAGCTCCCGAAAGCATGCGGGACCTTCTGCAGGGGCGTCCAGGGGGCCCCCATGACTTCGGATTTTGGGGTTCACGGTTTTTTGGGAGGGGGACGGTTCTCCCTCCCCCCCACCCAGGATTTACAGAAATATAGGAAGAGGAATATGTATTACACTTGTAGGTGCGTGTATACATACACACATATGTGTATATAGATGCATGCGTGCATATATCTAAATATACAAATGTGTATTGATGTATGTACGCATGTAAGCATATGTTTATGCATGCGTACATGCACATGCATACGTACGTGTAAATGTATATGTATGTAGATATGTTTGTGTAGCCGTATATGTGTCTATATGGTATATGTTTGTGTATATGTATGTGTATGTGTATGTATGTGCATTGGTTTACATGCATGTGCATGTAAATGCGTATATACACACGCGTGTGTGTAGTTGTGTGTGTCTCGCTCTCCTTCTCTCTCTCTCTCTTTTTCTCTCTCTCTCTCTCTCTTTCTCTCTCTCCGCGCCTCTCGCGTGCCCATTTCGCCATCATTGTATAGCCCACTCGTGTTTTCTCCCCCCCTGCAGCATCAATGTCCTATATTGCAGGCTGCCCCGTACCAAACTTACCACGGAACAGTCGGCCAGCAGTCGGATGATCATAGTAAATGCATTGGTGCCGTATAGCAAGCAACATAATACGCAGCATAACGCGTGAAAGTTGGATTGTCTTAACCACGAACCCTGAACATAAAATCTCCCAAAGGTTGAAGCACCAAGTTGCGATGTCAAGAACGCCCGCCAGGTTGCTTGGATGTCAGTGTAGGTACGGTACGCGTGTAGGGTACAAGCACGTCCCATTATGGTATCATTGTTTTGTCGGAAGAGTACGTGGTCTCTGCAGTTTTGCATTGCGTGTGGGTTTTGATGCGGCCATGGAAATGGACCCTTTCACGGCTGTGGTGTGAGCCGCAGAGATATTCTTCGCGTGGGCATTGGGAGTACGATCGGACAACGGCGGCACACCGCTGCGCAATGGTGACGCCGCGCACCGCCGAAAGTCTAAGGTGCCTGAGGCGCAGACGAGTCGGGCTTCACGCACGTGTTGAAGCCACGACGACTCCCCGTGCAGACGTCCTGTAGTATTGGCACTTACACTCGGAATGGTCGGGAGTTTTGGTGGGCCGCTTGCTCAGCGGATTTGAGGGCCGACTTCGCGGCGTAGGAGGCCTTGTGAAGTCAGTCTGGGCCGAAGACGGGGCAGCAACAAAAACGAGCCAGTAAGAATTGATTGTGTCATCATGTCTTGCGTGTCCATCGAACCCATCGGGGATCGAGGATCGATGAGGAGGAGGTAGAGTATAGTAGCGATGCTGAAGTAAGAAACCACCTACGGGTTCAGGAGAGACTTTGGTTTTCGGAGGCGCTCCTTAAAGTCAGGCCAGGGAACAGATTCGTGGCCAGGACTCGCCATGGCTTGAAAACTAATGTCGTTCTTTCCTGGGCTTTCCCCATGGTGGCACGATGACTGTAAGAACTCATTGTGTCATCATTTAGGGCGTGTCCGTTGACCCCAATCGGGGATCGAGGAGGAGGACCGAGGATGAGGCGGAAGACGAGGAGGAGCAGAGGAGCAGAGGAGGACGGTCAGGAAAAGGAAGCGCGGGATCGGGGGACGCTCGCCGTACGGCTGTACGGCAGTTTCGCGCAGTGTCGACCCAGCGGCAGCCCCAGTGCGGGCGTTCAGGGTTGAACTCCGCCAGTGGTCCAGACTCTGATTATGTCGAGCAATCTGCGCTATCGGATAGCCACGATCGCTCCAGGTTGAGCCATCCACGCTGTGTCCGAAACCAACGCCCGCCGCTCCAAACCTGGCAGACGGGCAGAGTTCACGAGAACCTCTTCGACCCCCCTCGACGTGGTGGCCTGGGGGGTCCTCGATCCCCAGGGCTCCCTGGGCAGGGGCAGCGACAGAGGTGGTTGGCGCAGGGGGGGGGGAAGCATTGAGCCCGATTTCGCCCATTCTTCGACGATCGGGGCCTGCCCCCCCCCATCCCGCCCTGTCTGCAGCTATCGGGGGGCTCATCGCCGATCATTGCATCGCCGATTCCAAGCCAATGCTCCCCCCGCCTGGGCCAGCCCACCCCCATATTGGCCGAGGGGGTCCTCAACCCGGAGATCCTCGATGCCCGACCCAGGAACTCACAAGTATGTGTACGTGCATGCATACGTGCATGCATGAATTCACACGGCCTTCGTCACGCCAGTGCTCGTGGCACGAGGGCGGCCTCGCGAATTGAGGGGCATGTTCATGCACGTAGACGGGCACGTCCGTTTCCCTGAAACTCCCTATTATGTTTAAGTCGGGCGTGCCCCTCTACGGGAGGAATATTCAAACATAGTGAAAGAATTAATCTGGGGACAGTTTTTTATTAGTTATGACCATTGTTTTGCTTGTTCGTTTCACTAATTTTGATTGTTCGTCCAACATCCCCCTGTAGGAGCACGTGCCCGACCTAATATTACAGGGTCCGGCTTGAATAAGGAACATTTATGTTTCAAACGGGGCTCGGTCGTTCCTTTGGTTTGCATGCGTTCCGCTGCCTTTTTTGGCGGCGAGCCCCCCTGGTGCTCCTTCGGATTTCCTAGACTTTCTTGGAAAAAAGGGCTTCGTTCCGTATGTGCCGTTCCTTAGTGTTGACCATGTTTGAATTGTTGGTTTATTATTGTCGCATTTGTCGTCCCCTGTAGGAGGACGTGCCCGACCTAATACTATGTCGACCCTGATTCATAGGTCGACCCTGCCACGTCAAGGGTACCCTTGTGTCCCTTGTGTCCTGGGTCTCGCGACCCATGCCGCCTGCATTCCTATGGCAGTGCGCCCCTCGGAAAGGGTATTTTGTCCTCTCGCGTGCCCTCTCCAATCAAGTCCGCCTGTAGTCCTGATAACACGATAAGGGCGTGGCCTCGCTGGGGTCCCCGTCTTTGAATTGGGGATCATCCACTTGGAGACGGCCTGGCTCGATACCCCTGCAGGAAAGGCCTCCATGTCCGCAATGTGTCGGGCCCTCGGTGAGGTCCCCTCCGAGAGGCTCTTTGGTCCTCTCGCGTGCCCTCCCCAGTCAGGCCCGATTGTAACACAGTGCCGACACGCCTGCAAACCCCGCGCGCGCGCGCCCCCCCCCGCAGACGTGGGCTGCCTGCCCGCCTCGGCGGCGGCTCCCGCCGGCGGCCGTCGCCGGCGGCCGCAGGCCCTGGCCCCCACGCCCGCGCACGCCCCGCCCGGGCTCACGGGCCCCCCTCCTCCTCCTTCCTCCTCCTCCTCCTCCTCCTCCTCCTCCTTCCTCCTCCTCCTCCTCCTCCTCCTCCTCCTCCTCCTCATCATCCTCCTCCCCTCCTCCTCCTCCTCCTCCTCCTCCTCCTCCTCCTCCTCCTCCCTCCTCCGCCTCCTCCCCCCCTCCTCCCCTCCCCCTCCTCCTCTTCCTCCTCCTCCTCCTCCTCCGCCTCCTCCTCCTGCTCCTCCTCCTCCTCCTCCTCCCTCCTTCTCCTCCTCCTCCTCCTCCTCCTCCTCCTCTCCTCCTCCTCCTTCTCCTCCTCCTCCTCCTCCCTCCCTCCTCCTCCTCCTCCTCCTCCTCCTCCTCCTCCTCCTCCTCCTCCCTCCTCCTCCTCTCCTCCTCCTCCTTCTCCTCCTTCTCCTCCTCCTCCTCCTCCCTCCTTTTCCTCCTCCTCCTCCTCCTCCTCCTCCTCCTCCTTCTCCTACTTCTCCTTCTCCTCCTCCTCCTCCTCCTCCGCCGCCTCCTCCGCCTCCTCCTCCGCCTCCTCCTCCGCTTCCTCCTCCCCCCCCCCCCCCCTCCTCCTCCTCCTCCTCTTCCTCCTCCTCCGCCGCCTCCTCCTCCTCCTCCTTCTCCTTCTCCTCCTCCTCCTCCTCGTCCTCCTTCTCCGCCTCCTCCTCGTCCTCCTCCTCCTCCTCCTCCTCCTCCTCCTCCTCCTCCTCCTCCTCCTCCATCTCCTCCTCCTCCTCCGCCTCCTCCCCAGGAGCATCTTGACACATTCTGCGACATCCGCGAACTTATCATTATGAAAAAAAACATAACTCTCCAGGCCCACATCCTTTTTCGACAGGTTGGAACTGCAGCGGCTCCGGCAGGATCAGCGAAATCAGGCCCGGGAGTAGCCGCCTCAGCTGCGGCGAGTCCAAGGCTCCATTCGCGGTGGGGGCTGCTGCCTAGCAGACGGCAAACGGCGCCAATGCCCTTGCGAGCCCCCCGCTGCCCCGCGTGGCCAGGGGCGCAGTTTCCCTTGGGGCGGGGCCACGAACGTCTTAGGTGGCCAGCGCTTCGGCTGCGGCTATAGCTCGAGGGTCGTCGCCCAGGCCTTGCGACGCCCCCGAGAAGGTCGCGCCCGGACAGAGCAGGGCTTGTAGAGCCACCGCTAGAGCCGCGGCCAAGACGACGCAAAGCACGGGGACATTCACTCACCAGGGGTCTTCCGCTGAATGGTGAACGCGCAGGATCGGCATTGCCCCGCGCGGCCAGGGGGGCGACTGGGCCCCGGGGCGGGGCCCCGCGATTCTCAGAGATTGCCCCCGGGCACCCGCGGCGCGGGCAACTCCGGCAAGTCGCGGCCGCGACGGCGCAGAACAAGGGGCCACCCGCCCACCCCAACAGCGGGGGCGGAATGGGATTGCGCCGGGCGGGCATTGCCCCGCGCGACTCGCCCCCCCCCCCCCCCCCATTCGGGGGCGGGGCCAGGCGTTTCGCAGCTCGTTTTCGGGCGCCCGGAGGGGGGCAGCTGCTCCAGGCGACGGCGCTGCGAAGAAGCATCGCTCCCAGTTTTTGCGCGGCCTCGCTTCGGGGCGGGGGAGCTCGCCCACCTGAGGGCCGACAGGGGCGGCGCGCCCGGGGCCCGACGCGGCGCGCCTGGAGCCCGACATTCTTGTTCGCGAGCAGATGCGCCATCTGGTTGGTTCTATCCCCACTGCCCAGATCGCGCCGCTGCTTGGCCGATTTTGCGGCCGATAGGTCCGAGGGCTGATGGGCGCTGGCGGGCGCCGCCATCGCCCCAGTGGAATCTTTCGCGCTGGCCGCCAGGGAGGCCGCAGACCAAGCTCTCAGGGCGGTGGCGCGGCAGCAGGCGCTGGCGCTCGGTGATGGGGTTCTTCGGAAAGCGGCCACAGACTGCGGAGTTCTTCATAAGTTGTTCAAGGGCAGCGCGGGGGGGGTCGGCGAAGAACGGGCGGGCGGCCCGGCGCTTCTCGACGCGGCTTCCGCAGCGGAGGTCACGGCGCAGGCATGGCGCAAGTTATGGTCGCCAGAAAGGGGTATTATGGCCAGCGGGCGATAGAGGCGTTGGCCAACGTTCGGCAGCTGATTGGAATGGGCGACACTGATCCCCTGGCCCTCGAGCAGCTCGGGGGGGCCTCTCGGTCGGTCTCGCTGAGAGTCGCGGGGGGCATCGAGGCTGTCGGGCCACGCAACGCCCGGTGGCAACCCGAGTCTGTTCGCCTCGCCGTGTTGAATGTTCGATGCCATCGAGGCCAAGGTCGCCTGGCCTCGGCAACGGCCCACCGCCTGAATTGTTTTGCTGCGCAAGCTTGGCGCGCGCAGGGATCGTGCATAGGCTTGCTTACCTAGCTGGGCCGCCCGTGGAGTCGCGCTTGGTCTCGCCTGGCGGAGGCCTGAGCGCCCGCCCGTTCTGGGTTGCCGCGGCGCGGTGCAGCGGCGCTCTCCTGGGCGCTCGGCTCATCAGGCGCCGCGCTGACGAGGCCGCGCTGGCCCCCCCTCGCGCGAGAGCACGGCTTCGCTTCAGGTTCGTGGAAGGCTGGCGCTTTTGCGATTCAATCGGAGGGGGGGCGGCCATGGCCCACGCCATCGACGTCGATTTCCCGCCGCGCCCTTCGCCTTCGGAAGGAGACCTCCACGTTGGGGCCAGGGGTGCTTCGGGGCTAGAGGCGGCGCGCTCCGCCCATCATTCCTCGCAGGGGCCTCGTTGCCAGCGCCCCCCGGGCCCCCAAGTTTCCGGAGAGCCAGATGCGACGCAGTTGCGAGCAGGCGCGCGCCCGCAGATCGCCGGCCCCGCTCCGCGCGCGGATCGTCGCGCCCGCGCAGCGGGGGGGGGGCTGAGGCAAGACGTCGTTCGCGAATGCGTCTCGGCCGGCGGCGCCCTCACATCGGGCTTAGAATTTCCAGCAAGTCCACGACCATTGCCACTGATTTGTCGGTCGCTCGCGAGATGCAAGCCGCCCTGGGCGCGCAGGGCGCCCGGGTGGAAGTCGCCCTTGTCACGGCCGACCTCGGCTTTTGGCGCGACAGCGGGGCTTCCAGAGCCAGGCCTCGCCACTCCGAGCGCATCTGCCAGGCCAGGCGTCGCGCTTGTCGGATTCGCGAGTTATCTGGACCTGCGCCGGGTGAACTGGGGCGCGCCGCACCCTCGCTGGGGCTGCGCCGCTGGCCCCCATGCGCTTCGAAATCATCTAGCTCGCGCCGTCGGGGCACAGCGGGGAGATGCCTCGCCGCCCCGCTTGACCTGGAAGCTCGGGGTAAAATGATACCGTTTTCATTGTTGTTTCTGCAGTTGTCAGATCGCTGGTCTCAGTCAGATCGCCGCGGCCCGCTCGCTGCGGCGGTGAACAGAATGCACCAGTGATGGAAAATCGTTGTTGGGCAGCGCATTGGGGGCATGGGGCCTTCCAGGAGGTGGCATGATAATCAGGCCTCCTCGAGCACTAGCAGCTGCCCTAGCAATGCCCCGATCCACCGACCGAGGCACTGGGCAGGGTGCTTTACCAGATTGCACAGGATTCAATCTCCAGACCAGTGAGGAAACTCTGAGACTTGCCAACCCAACAGCGAATTTCGCAAAACACTTATGGACATTTGCCCACGCGGAGGAGCCCAAGATGCGCCAGCTGTTAAAGACACGGGGGCTGGATGAAGTTCGACTAAATATGATAAGGCGGCCCATCGTGGACTCACGCAGGACATGTCGACCATTCGAAGCACATGGCACACCGACTACGCCATCAATTATGGGACCAGGTAAATCCGAGGAGGAAGCCGACTGCAACCTGTTTTTCCATAAGAAGCACATCGTCTTCCACGTCATCGACCTTTGCATCAGGTGCGCCAGCGGTTGCGAGATGCTGCGCAAGCCCCAGGACTCGCTCTTGGACCCCAACTGCAACTTCTCGGCACGACACAATCACGCAGCCAAAGCATTGCACTGCGACGGAGAAGGTGGTCTTAACAACGATGATGCCAATGTCAAATTGGGATCAGCGGGCACCGATATCTGGACGTCTGCCTCTGACCGTCGCGCCAACGCGACCGAGGCCCCGGATCGAATCCTCCGCGGCGCCACGCGCGCGACAAAAGAATGAGTAAACAGACATGCCCCCCCCCCCCTCCAGCTTTCCCCGCATCGCTTGCTGAACCCACGCTTTTCTGCGACACTTCGACCAGCTACGACGGCCCACCGCCGCGCAGCGCGCGCCGGCCGACAGCCCGCCGCGCTTCCGGACGTCGAAGGCTCTGACTTGCAAGAAGCAGACAGCACGGGTCAAGGATGAGAGCGACGCATCCGGAAAGTAGTTTTTGAAGCCATCGTTCAAGTTACGGGCAGTGGCCAAGTTGGACTAGGCCGCTGCGACAAAGACCAAGGCGGACGGAGGCCGCGCGCACTTAGTAGGCGCCTTGGATGCTTACCACAGGCCGACCACTGCCAAGGGCGATCATGGCGGTTGGAACGGCCCATTCACCGTCGCAGAGGTGAGCGAGGAACGTGGACGACTAACAGCCAAGTCTGGATGCCGATTGCCCGATGCAAGATGCACCCTGGATCTCGAAGCCCCCATGGTCAACGAAACTGGCGTGGACAAGGTGGCCACGAGAGCGATGATCTCGTACTTTGCAGGCGAAGACAAGGCTCCCATCAGATCTGGGCATATCCCCGACCGCAGGGAAATGTTTTGACGATCCACAGCAAGCTGGCCCTGGAGGTGCATACGGCACGCAGTACATTGGCAAGCCTCACTTTCGAATCGAGACTGCGATCACCGCGCCGCTGGCAAAGAGCGCATGTTATCTCCCGACCGTCCGCGGGGGCGGATCGTAGCATTCTGTTTGATCATGAACAATGTTCGGCCCGGCTTTCGGTTCTACGAATCGCATAACACCGACTTCAACATCGGTGATATCTGTTGCAGCAAGTACGCGACTCTCACGGAATGCCTCCTTGTGGCGCGACCAATTCA